GAATGCTTGTTTTGAGGTGCCTGGCGATGAGCGTTCCAGGGTTGATCATAATCCCAAAACATCAGACATTCAACAAATCATGTCAGACCACATCTTCCTGGTAATGGTTTGTTATATGTGTATTGAGATGTATTATGAACCCATAGATATATTGGCTAGCTTGATTGATGATGTCATAGGTTGTATTTTAAGGGCGGCGTCATTCTTAAAGGTCCCATAAATGATTGTAACTACACGCGTTGCGGTTGCTAGCACAGCACTTAATGAGCCTTGCCAGCAGGTATCAAGAAAAACGGAATTCCATTTGGTGAATTCTCAAGAAATCATCAAGACAGCAGGATGATCAGTCAAGAGCATTGCATAACACGTGGTTTCAAAGTCAAATATTCAATAATGAGTTGAACGAGGAAGAAATGAGAACTCGTAAACACTTGAATGGAAAAAGTGATCAGCTGACACTTATCTATATCTAGGGAGGTTTCTAAAATGGGGGCATGAGTACACCTGAAAGCTCTGTGTGATTGCATTGAACGCAGTTCCAAGATATAACTCAGAAGGTGCTAGGATACTTCCTCATTAATGATAACAACCTCTATATTCACAAAAAGGACTAACAAGAAGGTTAGAGAATGCGATGGGTTAAAACAAACGATCTGTAACCTTTTGGTTGACACGGAAATCTTACATATTTCTCTTTTTTGGCCACCCTCCTTGTTTCAACACCAATTATACAGCGCATATAAAAAACGCAACAAACAAAAATTAAATCGTAAAAACCATCAATGACTGCATCATTTTCTGTATCACGAAGCCATGTTTCCTTCCTTATCAATGATATTATTTGCATGGACTCATGGTTGGCTGAATAATTATTCACTTCGCACGATGCAAACATTGGTTTTGAACCAAGCTTTAGACTATGACAAAGCTACTTAGTCTTGCTTCAAGACACTGGACTATCTACTCTAACAACTGTGTTGTCAAACATGTACAGTCAAACATGTACAGTCTTGATGCAGAACTAGGTGCTGTTTGAAGATCCCCTGACCTGACCTGTGACTTTTTCCTTTTGGCTATCTCAAGAGCGAAGTGTTAACCACCTCACAAAATTGTAACACATCGACAAGCAATTACCAATGTTTGAAACCCACAAATGACTCAAAGAGCCATGCAACTAATGGAGAGGTTAGTTCATCACTGTGTAAAGGGGTATAATGCAATCTCCTTATGATTATGAGTATGAACACTTAACTGTGTTATGATGTCACCATCTGCCACACCTTCTTCCAGTAGAACCTGGGGTCGTGAACTACTTGGCATTAATTGTTATGTCTGAAACTTGGTCTCTAGTTGATTTTGACTGACTGTGCAAAATGAATTAAAAAACACAGAAACTCCACAGAGTAGCAAATCCCGGCGAACAAAATATTTTTTGATAAATATCGGTCATCTTAAAAACAAGCGAAGGGAAGGACGAAGAAACAGACGGATGCCTTCTTTATATCCCTACAAACCTCGTTCGATGGGATAATGCTTGTTCAGCCAACCATGTATGACCCCATGTAAATAAATAACATGTGATAAAAAATGATATTGACAAATTGATAAGTAATATCTTGTAGTCCATATTGATTTTAATTCAGTGATTCGAATCTAGTACAGTACAATAACCTTAACGTTAATCCTTCGTAGAAATGTTGACTGGAAAACACAATATGAAATAATTAGCTGGAAAATTGTAGACATGCAACACATGTCATGCATGCTAGTCACCGGATGGGGATTATTCAGAAAACAGGCAAATCAATCATATTTCTTTGTAGCATTTACCTGTGGATATTAAAGCTCAGTCTGAGAAAAGCAAAATCAGGCTTTTTGAAAAGATAATAATACAATAGATCATGGATGAAATTGAAAGGCTAATAAAAGAATATTTGTATGTTTATATTTAGCGCATTTGTCTTGCATGTAGTGAAATGTATATATATATTAATATAGAAGATGACGCGGTATCCAAACTGCGTGCATAATGCATATACTACAGGGTGTCAAAAAACAACGACACCCCCCTCTACAGCAATAAGTACTTAATGTTACATGGTGTGTCATATCTCATTTTAAAGACAATGTAATTCTGGAGTTACCTGAGAAATTTCAGCCTTATATCGTATAATTTTACAGATTTACAGCTGATTCTTAGTAGTTGGTATGACCACCAGTTGCTGCTCGAACAGCAGCTTATCTGGATGGATATGATTTCAATAAAAATTCAGATAAAGGTGTAGCATTGCATAATCATCTCAGCACTTTCCTCAAAATCTTCAGAATTACATCCTTACTGTATCTTTTTTCAAGATCAGCTCTTTTTCCATTAATTCCTATACCCTGTTTTCAGAACAAGACCCATATGTTCAGTGCAGTTGAGATCTGGGCTAATTCTTTCATATTCCACTTCCTGAAGATTTGACCTTTAACCAGTAACAGAGCAGCAAACAAAGTACCGAAGTAGCAAACTTTGAAACAATGTAGCTTTTTTAATATAAATTTCTATTAAATGAAATTTGATGAGTAACTCCAGAATTAAATTATCTTTCAAATGAGGTATGACACAATATGGAACACTCAGGACTTTTTGCTGTAGAGGGGGGTGCCGTTGTTTTTTGACACCCTGTATATATGATACACTGACAAACTGCGCGCATATCAACATTGCATCATACAAGTTAGAGTTCAAACGTAGTATTAAGACATTTATTCTGCATTGATTTATAGTTTCATACATCCATTCGATGGTGATTATATGATTCTACCATATGATAGCGAAAACAATGTCCAAATGAACGTAGGTCTTAAAATATAAGCAGATTAATAAAAATATTCCATCGGTTTTTCGATTACCGACACATAAGTTGATGTCGCACTTTTCACAGAAATAGAAAATACCTGGGTTCTGTTTCATAGGTAAATCTCAACCCAGTTCTCACGTACAATACAAAATATTTCGTATTAAATCAGATGATCGTGAGACAAACGGACATTATATGATTCAACACTGTATATTGAGATTATTAGGTTTACATTGGGGAAAAAATTGAGGGCTAGTTGTAAAAGAAATGGAAAAGAACTTGTAAAAGGGCTAAGAAAATGGTAATAAACTTAGAAGTTATAGACTCCATAAATCTCGTTTTCATACCGAGGAATATGTTGAGATGTATTTACCTAGGATTTACAGACAAGCTCTGGCAAAACTTAGGTGTGGTGTATTACCTCTGAGGGTAGAAACGGGAAGATATAATCCCAAATTAGACCTTCATGACAGAATTTGTTTAATGTGTGATATGCAGGAAGTTGAAAATGAAATACACTTTCTAATAGATTGTCCATTGTATAATGATTTAAGATATGATGTTTTCACTTACATGTCATCATTGCATCCTTCTTTTGAAAATTCAACAAATTTAGCAAAATATTGTTTAATTATGTGTGATTGCAATGTTTACATGCTAGCAAAGCTAGTATATTGTATGTTTAAACGACGTAAATTATTTTTATTGTAAATTTTATTCAGTGTCTCATAAGTCGGCAACGGCTGGACGTGTACATATTATTCTTTTACCTCTACATGTGTATGTATATTTTAATTGTTTTTTAGTGTAAATTGTATACGTGTGACACTTAAATAAACTATTTTAAACTAAACTAAACTGTAAAGTAACTTACGAGTAGTGTCCACATAACGGCACTCTCTGATTAACAAAACTAATCTTGTATTTCCAGTACTTTTCATCCTTAAGAGAGTCGTGTCCTCCCCGTCTGCCATATTAAATATGCACGCATTTTGTCAATGTTTAAAAGTGTGTGCATAGTGTGCACGCAGTTTGGGTAGCGCGCCGTGTAAAATGTCCATTCTTTGAAGAATGAACATTTTGTTTAATATTGCAGTGAGTAATTGACAGTGAAAACAATTGAGACTAAAAGTACTTACATTTGTTAGACTTTACATGACAATCTCAAGGTTTACTTTGTATTACTGTAATTCACAGTTTGTGGAAACAAAAGTACAATTAATAATGGGGTGCTCAATAAATCAAGGGACTACAATTTAATTATAGGGAAGCCGTCAGGATCCAAAACGCAAGGCAAATTTTAAATTGGGCAAGACAAATCTCCAGCGAAATATAGTACTTTCGTATAATTTTTATAGTTTCAATAGTTGCAATCAAAAAAGTATCGAAAGGAAATATTTTCTGAAAAATTCTAGGGAGATATGGTCCAAAGATGAGAGTTGTGGGTTGTACTACCGACCGTGTTATTAAAATCATAATCAACGAGGCACGAAGCATGTTTGACTTGTGAACAAGCTGAACATGAAATATTAAAATCCCATAAAACATGCCTAACACTAGGTTTGAACCAAACTTTGGATTCTAAATTATTTACAGTGTCACGTCGTTCCCCTTTCCCAATCATTCAGGATTTGCTAATTTATCAGTTTTAAGGTTAAAAGGACCGAATGTAAAGAGTCTGTAGAATATGGATTGCGTCCGGAATCTACAAAATATGGATTTTTTTATTTTTAGATAACAAGGTTTCCAACACTTGCATATTATTTGTATTATCAAAAATATTGACATCATGATGTGACACTGTACGCGGTGCAACATTTTATCATTTATTAAAAATGAGTATTCAACATTTTAATATATGATTATTTACCAATGCTAGACTGCTATTCGTCGCGTGAGAATAACTTTGTACTAACTGCCATTTTCAAAAAAAATGAGATAGACATGGAATTTTACTATTTGACACACAGGCTTTCATCTCAGATACATGCCCCATCTCAATTCCCTCTCATTAAGCTAGAATTCAGTGTGAAATTGTACCATCTCCAGACAAACAGCTTATTTCTAATTTCAAATTGTCATATCTGATATCAACATTTTAATATATGATTATTTACAAGGAAGTTGCCACTTTGAGAAAACAACTTGTAAATAAGACAGTTTCACCCCCAAATGACAATGTGAAATCCCTTCTTATAGGATCATCAATAGTTCGTGACATTGATGAAGCCAAACTGAACAATACGGAAGTTATATGCATACGAGGAGGAAAGATATCTGACATTCACAAGAAACTACTTACCATGAAGAGGGAGTTTGACCATATATACCTGCAGGTGGGAAGTAATGATTGTTCTGAGAGAGAAGACGTCAAGCTAATATCAGAAGATTATACCCTCCTAATCCGTACAGCAAAACAGTGTTCCAGTTCTGTCACTGTTTCTAGCGTAACACCGCGCATAGGTGCTACTCAAACCCAGGAGCGCATTGACCAACTCAATGGTTTCCTCCTTTGCCATTGCCAAAATGAGGATGTAATTTTCAATGACAATGATATCAACTTTCGGCTCAAGGATGAGTCAATCAACACTGGCTATATATGTGCCGACAAAGTCCACCTTAGTTTTGCAGGCACCAATAGCCTGGCCAAAAACCTCAAACTCAAAAGGAGTTGTGATGATGTCACCCTACCCAAGAATAAAAGGTTTGACCCTCTGCAGAAAAAATCACAGCAGCAGCCACAGAATAAGCGCCAAACACAGCAACACCAGCCCAATGATTCAACAAGTCCAGTGACGCACACCCAAAGTGATATACCCAGACAATCCGGTTATAATAACACACGTAAACCGAGATCGAAGCAGACTTATACCCCACAGCAAGAACGCCACTTTATTACTTCATCAAGGGACAATCTTGTATGCCTGAAATGTGGCGAGCCGGGTCATTTATCTGCCTCGTGTTGGCATCCTAACACAGTGCGGTGCCATTCCTGTCGGGAATTGGGACACAAATCCTCCAGGTGCCCCAAGTCTGAGGTTCCACCATTAATGACCAGACAATTTGCAAATACCAGAATTGCCAATGAGCGTGCTCCACCAATGACTCATGATTATGATGGTCATTACATTAAGGACTATGGACATGGCAATAATAACTTTAGGAATAGATTTGCTGTTCTTGAGCATTATTAGATGTACGGCAATGAGTCAGCCTTACCCCCCAAAATCCAGAAATGTTTTGCCTCACCCCCCTTAAGCCATAATAATGTCACTTCTTTAAAACATAGACCTCATAGAAGGTCCAAACGGAAACGCTCTCAGGGTGAATGTTTGAATTTAAAATTTGCTTTTAATAATGTGCAAAATTTAGGACGGGCTAAACAAAGTGAATTGAAATATCTGCTTGAAAATAATGACATTAAAGTAATGGGCTTAACAGAAACATTTTTCAATGAAAATCGGTCAATGATGGTAAAAAGTGATAAACATGAATGGGTACATAAAAATAGGGTAAAACGTGAAGGAGGTGGCGTGGGCTTTTTTATTAAGACAAGCAATGAGATTAATATTTTGAATGATGACCTATTAAATTCCAAGTCAGACGATTTTGAGAGATACTGGATAAGATTGAGAATTAACGGTGAAACTTTCAGTATCGGTATTGCATACTATCCTAATGATGGTAAGCATACTGATCTGAGTAACTCACTTACAGATGAACTTATTTCAAACGTGGCCTCGCTAGAGGAATCTGGGGACTTTATCATTTTAATGGGAGATTTCAATGGAAGAATAAAGCAATTCTCAAAAGATGGCATTGCTAGCACAAATGGGAAATTGATTGAAATGCTCAGCGAAGTAACAGATATGAATATATTAAATCTTTCAAGCAAATGTAATGGTTCTTATACTTGGTTTAGAGGAAGTCAGACTTCAACTATAGATTATGTTTTATGTAATCAAAGTTTATATGATAAAATGACATCAATGAATATTGATGAAGAATGTGAATATTCTATTGGGAGTGATCATTGTATGATTCTAATTAACTTTGCTTTTGTAAAACATACCAATCACTCCAGAAAATCTAAAGTAAATCTCGATTGCAATGCTAAGCTTTGGAAAATGAACGACCAGACAAACTGGAAAGCCTTCAAAACAACTCTTTCTTCTGAATTTGAACATTGGAATCCTACAGATTTCTCCTCTCCTGAAGAAATGTGGACTGATTGGAGAGAACGCGTTCTCAATGTTGGCAATAATGTGATCGGTCATTTTGAAATTTCACAAAAGTATAGAAGCTTTTGGGATGATGAACTGAAAAAACTAATCAAGAGCCGTAAGGAGGCTAGCCAGTTCTGTAGATACTGGCGTGCCTCAGGTCTTACAGATCTTGATTCTTTCGATGAACTATGGAAAATATATCAAATAAGGAAGGAAAGAGTTCATGTTTATATAAAAGACAAAATGGTCAAACGTCATATTAATATTTTGACTAGAAATGCATCCAAAAAATCGTCCAGTTCAAGGTCATACTGGAGAACCCTTAATATGTTTAACAGTAATAATAACACACCCATAAGAATCCAACATCCTCTCCACCCTGACATAATTGTTGATGATCCAAAACAAGTATCTATTCTAATGAAAGATTATTGGTCAAAAGTGGGAATAAAAAACAGAAATCAAAAATCGCCTGATTTGACAGCAAATGAAATTAAACACTCTCAAATTCTGGCGAATATGGAATTTAAACTCAGTTCACCAAATGAAAATGACTCGGATATCTTTGATCAAGTTATTTTGGACAAGGATGTACTAACAGCCCATTTAAGGCAACTGCCTAATGGTAAAGCAGTGGGCACTGACCTTACACCGTATGAATTTTTGAAATATGGGGGCCCCACTATTGTCAACACTTTGCTTCATTTGTTTACAATGTGTAAGACCCATGAATCATTCCCTGAACAATGGAAAGAAGGTTTATTAAAGCCACTTCATAAAGGTGGCGCAAATGGCTCCTTAGATAATTTTCGAGGTATTTCTATTACCTCTAATGTATTTAAACTTTTTTGCTCCATAATCAACAAGCAAATGATGGCTTTCTGTGAAGATAAAAATATATTTGGTGACTTCCAAGGAGCGTATAGAATCAAACAACGTTTAGAAAATCATGTATTCAAACTTAAGTCTCTATGCAGTCTAAGGAAAGATAAAAATCAAAAGACCTACTTGGCTTATTTGGACATTTCAAAGGCCTTTGACGTAATGGACAGAGACCTTATGTTCATAAAATTATGGGAGAAAGGTGTCCGCGGTAAATGTTGGAGACTCATAAGAGAAATGTACAGAGGAATAAGGACCAAGGTCAAATTATCTAATAATTGTAATGAAAACCTCATAGATAACGACAATAAAAATGGCTCTCAAAATGAAAATAATAATAATAATGGAAATACCCAATGGTTTAATACAAAATGTGGAGTCAAACAGGGCTGTACCTTATCAACTACTCTATTTTCAATCGTCATGACTGACCTTCAAGATGAACTTTTAAAATCTGATGTAGGTATTACATTTAATAACTCAAAATTCCCTAGCCTCATGTGGGCCGATGATATAGTACTTTTAGGCAATTCTGAAAATGATCTCAATAAGATGCTCAATGTCACTAATGATTTTGCTATTAAATATGGTTTTAGGTTTAGTGAGAAAAAATCAAAAGTCATGGTTATAGGCAAGAAGATTGATACGAACAAGTTATGGAAATTAGGTGATCTCAACTTAAATGAAGTCCAAACCTATAAATATTTAGGTATTCATATTGATCGATCCTTGAAAGATAACTTCCACATAATTGATCAACAAATTCAAAAGTCAAAGACTCTGAAGAACTTTATTACATTTATACTGAGCAAACATTTAAATGCTAAACGTATTGAATTTGGTAATACGCTTTATACAACAAAATTCCTCTCGGGGCTGTTACATGGCTGTGGTGTTTGGGTTACGAATACCAAGACCATCCTTGATAAACTCCGGACAATGCAATATGACATGGCCAGGGGTATTTTCAATATAAAAAGTACCCCTGCATATGTTGCTATCATTAATGAACTTGGTTGGACACCAATTAAGTACATAGTCCTCAAGCGACAAATCCAATATTTTCTCCATTTACAGACTCTTGATCAGGGGTCATTCATAAGATTACTACTAACTAGAATGCAAGAACGATTTGCATGTAACAAATCAAATAGTTGGAAATATGTCGAGCACATAAATGATATCTTTAAACTGATTGACCTTGAAGGCATTGACAATAACTTAAATACTTTGACAGAAAATTATGAATCTTCTATTCAGAAGACATGCGACTCCGAGATACAAACTGAAATGAATGGAAAGTCTTCCTTGACACTGTGTAGACAGCTTATTGATCTTAAACATGAAGGTTTACAGTACTATTTAAGAAATGATTTTGATTTTGCAAGCGCACGATTAAAATTTCTTGCCCGGACCGGGAAACTAGGTCTTAAAGGTGAAACATATAAATGGGCAAATGTACAAGTTAATAGCCCATTATGTGATTTTTGCTCTGATAAAGAAGAGAATATAGAACATAGATTACTATTTTGCTCTAATTTTGCAGGGGAAAGATCCAAATTTTATAAAATACTTGAGGATAAAATTCCCATACATTTAACAGGGATATTCTTTAGCGCCCCAACTGACACAAAATTGAAATGGTTACTGGGAGATGAGGCATACATCTTTGGGGGGCACGAATATGGTGTTTTATTCGACTCTTTAGTAAAAAGCTTTTTAAATAAGATTTTAAGTAAATATTAACATACCTGTACCTATGTTTTAATTCTTTTTAAGACTCATTTTAGTTTGATAAAATGTTGTTTTTAACCAACATGGCATTTTGGATATTTTCGATTAGATGCACCTTAATGTAAGAGTGCCACTGTTAAAAAAGTGTATATCTAAATAAATAAATAAATAAATAAATAAAATATCAACTGTTTCAACCAATCAACTCTCTAAGAATTGGTCATGTGACTTGCAAAACATGGAGTTATAAAAATCTTATATTAAAACGAAGTATGCCAATATGCATGTTATTGTATCTAGAATGAAATAATGTTTTGTAACACAATACCATGCCAGTTTGCATGCCTGGCCTTTCATGTTTTAGTTTTAGAACTATTACAAGTAGATCAAAAAAATAAAATGATACAGTATGTGTAATCCCATGCATATTCAAATTATATGCCCTCAATTACTCTTTGTATTATGGATGCTCATTGGATTATTCATGGCCGCATGATATGAAATAGAATTACTAATTTCCTCGAAAACCTAAATCCTTGCTACCAGGGAAGATGAAAAGTACAAATGACCAGTTAATTAGATCATGTGAGCAGTCAAAAGTACCCTTTATCTTCCCTGCTACCAGGTCTTATAGGGGTTTGAATGGCCAAATGCAATAGAAATGCATATACGAAG